GTATGGGTGCTTCCCCCTGTTGGTGTCAGTATTTGTAGGGGGGGCCTGGCCCCTTGGAACTTGGGAGCAGTAGCTGTCCTCGAGCTGGTAGGGGTGCGGCTGGAGACATGGGAGGGTTTTTTTAGGAGAGGCCTTATTTGAGCCGTTGGGCACCCAGAGAACCCCTTCTCAGATCAACAGTCGTTACGAGTATTTATTTGTATAATATTTGGTTTATTACGTTGGTTATTGTTAACGTTGGTTTGTTTAATAAAAGGGCTGCTGTGGCCATTAAAATCCATGTTGCGCAGTCTGTGTGTTTATTGGGTTTTTTTTAAAACAAATAGACGAAATCGACAAATCCATCAGTCAAGGCTTTCATGAAGCTCCTTGTTTAGATATTTCATCCTATAGGGTGACAACGTTCTCTTCCTGTCTCCCAGTTATGCTTGAGCGTTGCCACCCTATCCCATGGACTTCCAATGGAAGACTACAAGTGGCCTTTCAACACGGATTACTTAGGCACCATCAAGAAACCCGCCCTGACAAATGGCATGCAGCCATCGCTGGGGTCTATGTGGACAGGAAGGGGCTGCAGGAGATCAGCAGAACTGGGATGCAACAAAGAATGGTAAAAAGGCAAAAAAGTATTTCGTCAAAAGTGCAACTTGTTTGTAATATGCGGCGCTTGAGCGCAATTAATGGAGGGTTTACATGGGCACACCAAGGTTGACATATTCAGACTAGCGAAGCTTGTACTCATTCAAAGAAAATGCAGCCGACGTCAAGCAATTACCCATCATGCAGCGGGCCTTTTATAGACACATTGCCTTCCTCTAAGAGTGCTTTAAATCCCCATGAATAAGTAAAGTGTTTATTCGCCATACTTAATACAGAAGGCGCCCATCAAATATTCATGCAAATCCGCCATGAAAAATTCATAATAATGTGTAAGATTTCCATGATGTTTGCTGCGTGCGCACCATGAACCATATTTGTACATAATTAGTAAAGCCGGCACTTTTACAGAGCCGCGCCTTTTTATTTATTTCTTTCTTCGCGGATTAAATTGCAGCTCAGAAACTTCACGTGAAATAAAATACCTTATTTATTTTCCATTTGGAAGGCCAAAGATCCCTCTTCTCATTGAGTTCTGTTTCAGAACATCCATTTAGCGTTGATAAAAGCCAACGTTGTATCAGACATGGTGGTTTATTTCAGAGGAAGCTACGGTGTGTATTAAAGTGTATCTAAACCCAAAAAGGAAGAAGAAAAAAAATATATAAAACCCAAGACAGAAAAATATAATAAACTATAAATTAGACCTGCGGCTAACGATTATTTTTAAAATTGATTAGTTAGCCGATTATTAAGTTCGATTAATCGGATAAAAAAAATAAAAATGGCTCAGTGATGGACTACTAGTGTGCATTGCGCTGTATAGAGGAATACAACAAATCCCAGCAATAGTACACTATACAGCGCAATGCAGAATACCGCCAGCTATAGAGGAAAACAAATCCCAGCAATAGTACATCATAGCTAGTGGTATTCTGCATTGCGCTGTATAATGAACTATTGCTGGGATTTGTATTCCACTATAACTGGTGGTATTCTACATTGCACTGCATGGAGGAATACAACAAATCCCAGCAATACATTATACATACAGTGTATAATGTATTGCTGGGATTTGCATTCCTCTTTAGCTGATGGTAAATTGTCCTGTATAATATACAACGCAATGTACCATCGGCTATAGAGGAATACAAATCCCACTATCCCAGCAATACAATAATACAGCACCATGTGGGGGGAAAGTGCATGCTTACCTGAGCAGTCTCCCAGCAACTTTCTTCTGAGATCGGGCCTGTCTATCCGCGGCTGCCGTCCCCCCACGCCTGCTCCTTCTTGCTTCATCTTCTCTCCGCGTCCCTCTGCCGTCTCCCTGTGCCAATCGTGGATGCGGGCGGGCGGGGGGTGGGTCTGGCAGTGGCGAGCGGGGCTGATTGATGAGTGAGGCAGGGAGGAGAAGCGGCGTGTATGGAGCGCCGAGTAGGGCAACTAATCGAATGTCAACAAATCGATGATGGAAAACGTTGACAACGTTTTCCATCATCGATTATAAACGATTTAGTCGATTAGTTGTTGCAGCCCTACTATAAATTATATTATACGATAATGTATTAAAAAATTATAATA